CTAAATGATTGCTTGATTCGTATGCATTAGAGTAGCATTTGCAAACCTTTTGACTAATGCTGACCATCTAAACAAAAATTTTAGTACCACCACTACATTTTACAATGATTTTTTTCAGTTTCGCGACATAAATATTAAAAAAATATATATATATTGCCATTTGCACAACCTTTTGTCTATTTGTATTAAATGTGCACACATAACATTATTAGATTTAAAATTGGTTACCATTTTAAAAATCAAAATATAAGTTATAATACTTTAATTCTAAAGTTTAGTGTAAAATTTGGGCCTGTTTAAGAGAGATCAGTTTCTTTATGTCTAGTCATATTTCACTTAGTTTTAACCTTAAATGAAGATACATTTAAAAATTTTGTTCTGTATTTATTTTTCAAATATAACATGTAAGGAAATCTTTGTTCACACAAATAGGTTGTGCGAAATAGCAGTAAAAATTTAATATCTTTATCTGAAATGCCTTTAAATTTGTTTTTCGTTTCAGCAAGAAGTTAACAAGTGTGTTATTTTTTAAAATCTTCTGCTAGAGTTCAATCATAGGAAATTTCTATCTATTGTTCTTTTTCTTCATGAGATAAAATTTCACTTACATTTAAACAAAATGAATTTCTAATCCAATTTTCTTTTTCATAATCCTGTGAAAAATACATGTTGAAATTATTTGTCAATAAAAAACAACTATTTTTAATGTCGTATGCTAATTCTTCTTTTATTTTCAAATTATTATTGGTTAGAAAACTTTCTAAAAGTAGTAAAAAGCTTAAAATATTACTAGCCGATTTTTATTATTATTATTATTATTATTATCAGCTTAAGTTATTTTATCATTGCATTTATTTTCTATCTAATGGTAAACAAATTAACACTTTGTCTTATCCTAAATTTAATTCATTTAACTTTCCAAAAATGTCAGCTAAATAAGCTAAATGCACTAACCATAATTCACTAAATAAACATTTTTTCAATTCAAATTTTAAATCGCAGAGAAAAATTTGAATTCTGATTGAAGTTCAAATAGACGGTTTAAAACTTTGCCTCTGGATAACCACCTTACTTCGGAATATAACAAAAGCATTTCGTGTTCACTGAAATTGTAATTATTCGTGAATTTAAAGCTTGGCTTTTCACAGCTTGATTCAAAACAGTTTTCAGGTTTTGGGGAATTTTTTTGGCTATTAAAGCATCATGATGAATGGAGCAGTGAGTAAATTAATTTTTAGCTCCAATTTTCTTTATTTGAGAAATAGGTAGTGTTCTGTTATCAGGACCAGATTCAGAAATGTATGTATGTATGCATGTATGAATGTTTTAATTTTTTGAGTAAGTATGTCTTTTATGGAATTTGCCGTTTCGCGAATTCATCGACTTAATAAATCATTTGATATTAAGTTCATTAGCTTTTTTTTTTTTTTTTTTTTTTTTTTTTTTTGTTAAATAATGTTAAAACTGCTGGAAGTGTAAGGTTTTTCTCAATTAGTGTGAGCCTGCCCAGTCTTGGCAGTTCTTAGGCCTACTAGGTATCTAGCTTCCAGATATTTTTCACTTGAAGTAACAAAACCTTCCATTACTTGTTTACTAGTTTTGAACTCCGATAATTTCTCCTTAAAATATTCTTCAGATTTTTTCTTATATTGGCATGTTTAGATTCAAGATGTCTTTTAAGAAATGATGATTTCATACTTTGCTTGGATAATAGTTCAGCACAAACAGCACATTGAGATTGAGGGTCCATTTCATATCCATTCCAAGTAACTCAAGTTATAAATAATTTTTGTTATATTTTCTGTAAACAGTTTTTCTTTTCTTTTCAAATTCTTAATGCTAGTAGATTGCCCTGAATCTATCACCTATGAATCATCCCTTTTCTGCCTTGTCAATCCTAGCCATTTTTCTGTTTTTAAAAATCTAGGTTTGTTTCAGCATATAGATTAATAATTCAAAGACATTTCAATAGAAATGCTGAGGAAAGGTACAAGGAATTAAGAAGAGAGGAGAAGAGAATTCATAGAAAGAAAAAACGATTGTACCTGAATGAAGTTTACAGGGATATTGAAAATCTAAAAACACAGAAAGAAGCTAGGAAATTTTATCAGCTGATAAATAATATCAGAGCTGATTTTAATCCCAGAACACTAACTTGTAGGGAAAAAAAGGCAGAAATCACCAAGAGACATGGAGGAAGTTCTGGTTTGTTGACATGAGTATTTTAAGGATATGCTTTCGGATAGAGATAGAGGAGATAACTACTTATAACATGCTACCTACAATGAGTTATAAATGTGAGGTTATGGGGCATAATCCACCAACTCTATATGAAGTTGAACTGGCAATTAAAACGTTAAATAATAATAAATCAGCTGGACTGGATGGCATCAAGGCGGAGCTTTTAAATATCAATGAAACGAATTTAAATAAAGCAATCCGTTATCTAATTTGTTGTATATGGACACAGGAACAAAAGCCCGAGTGGGAAGCGGGATCTATCTGTCCTATTTATATGAAAAAGGAGACAAGCTAGAATATTGTAATTACAGAGGAATTACCTTACTGAACATTGGGAATTACCAGTGTGGATTCCAGAAGGGAAAAACAACTGATCAGTTGCATTTTATTAGACAAATCTTGGGAAGAACTAAAAAATATAACATTGACACCTACCACCTGTTCGTTGATTTTAAAGCTGCCTATGGTAGTATTAACAGAGAAAAACTACTTGAAGTGATGTTAAAATTTAATATCCAAAAAAAAAACTGATTAGCTTCACAAGGATCAATCTTAAAAAAGTAATATGTAGAAAAAAAATTTCAGCATAACTTTCAGAACCTTTTTATACTGAGAAAGGATTAAGACATTGAGATTCACTATCTTGCCTGCTGTTTAATATAGCTTTGGAAAAGGTCATAAGAGTGGAATAAACACAAGTGGAACCATCTTGCACAGAACCATTCAACTCCTGGCTTTTGCCGATGACATTGATATCATTGGGCGATCAAAACAAGCTGTGGTCGAGGCTGCTGTTTTGCTTGAAAATGCAACAAGAAAGATGGGCCTAATCATTAATGAAGCAAAACAAAATTTATGATTGCATCTAATAAAACTATCCCCTTTGAAACCATAAAACAATTTAAATATCTGGGCACATTGATCACAAGTTGCAGTGATATAAAAATTGTAATAAAGAATAGAATATTTATGGCTAGTAGATGTTACTATGGCCTTAAAAAACAGCTTAAATCCGAACTAATCAGCATAAAAACTAAATTAAATGTATATAAAACTTTAATAAGGTCTGTTGCCATTTACGGAAGTGAATGTTGGATACTTAACAGAACAGAGAAAGATCTGATTCCAACTTTTGAAAGAAAAATCCTACGAAAGATCTTGGACTGGTACAATAAAATGGCAATTGCAGGATTCCTTATAACCATGAACAATGTGGAAAATATTGGAAATATGGTGAAAATGATATTGTGAGAATCGTAAAGGCATCTCGTATCAGATGGTTAGGCCATGTGTTTACATATGATGATGGATTTCCAACCAAAAAGATAACCTTTTGAGAATTCAGGGAGTAAGACGAAAAGGAAGACCACTCACTAGATGGATAGATGATGTCAAGCAAGATTGAAGGTTAATTGGAGTTAACTGATGGAAGGCTATTGCACCGAGTAGTGTCAGGTGGAGGAAACTTGGAGAGACATCCTTGGCCTGTAACAGGCCGTGGAGCTTATGAAGAAGAAGGTTTGTTTCATTATTTTTTGACAAATATTTAAATGCACAATATGAGTTCTTCAAAGTTAAAGAAATGATATTCTCAAATTGCATAGAAAAGTAAGGAATACAAAGCAACTAGAAGACAAAACACCTGCTGTTAGAGACAGCAGCAAATTGACGTAAAAAATTATTCTAATTTAAAATAGAACAACAATGTGAGCTCTGAAATGTTCGTGATGTAAAGTGTAGACATGCTAATAAATCGATCAAGTATAAAAGAATTAATGAGATACTAGTATTTTTTGATTTCCTATTAAATACATCCTTTTCTGTTACTTCCAAAAAACATTTATGACAAATTTTGTTATATCTATGGCTAAGAGAATATTTGTGAAAATAAAAGCGGATTGTTTTGCTAAAGTCTGTGAGTGGCTATTTATCTCAAAGAAATCTCAGATCGCATAAATTTTTTAGTGTTAGCAAAAAAAAAAATTAAACAAGATGTTGGGGTGTTTAATTTTTTAATTTAAGAGTTGAAATACTTTGCTTCTTTGTGTACCACCTATTTTTCTCTTGTATACCACCAGTTAAGAAGCGCTGCATTAGAATACAGTAAACTCCCGGAAGACATGAATTATCAGGTTTAGCATAAATCTTCTGAGTGGCATGACTTTTTTTTTTTTTTTTATCTTCTCATGAAAGCCAGCATTTAAATAGCTTCTATTAGCTCATTTTTTTATAATTATTTATTTTAGTTGCTATTTTCTTAAATGTCATTCATTAAGGTTATATTTACACTATTAAAGAAAATTTAAAAAAAAAAAAAATTATAGTCCAATATAAACCAAACAAAAAATCTCATGATCAGATAAACATGGCCATGCCACTCAAGAGTTAAAAATTTGCTTTTCTTGTATTTAGCATGTTATTGAATTTTTAATAAATAGTAGTATGAAGAGTACATAATTATGGTTTTTCTTTGATGTATTATACCATGCATTTTTATTGTGTCAGCTTTATGTACATTTAATAATTGGAAAAGGGTAATATATAATTGTGGGTCACTAAAATTTTTTTAATTCTAAATTGGTTTGTGTCAGGTCAGAGGATGTGCACCACTAGTATAATGTAATAAACTAAATTAAAACCTGAACTTCACTATATTATGATTAATTAAAATACTAGAAAAAGTTGATTTATATTTTATCAAATACGTTTTTCTGTGTTATGTGAATATTTTCCTTACTGTTACCTTTGTACTTTGCTAGAAAAGTGAAATTGTGGCATTGAAAAAAATAATTCAAGATAAGGAAGATTTATTAAGGGCTGAGCAAAAATTGAGTCAAGCTGCAAATGAAAAAATTAGTGATCTACTGCAAGAATTAAGTGAAGAAAAAGCTCGAGCATCTGCATCTGAAAAGTCCTTGAGAGATGCTTTGAACCAAGAACAGCAAGAGATTAAAGCTTTGCATGGTATGATGCAACGTAAGCGCGAACAATATGCATCAGAAATTTCATCCCTTCAATCTAAAATGCAGCAAGTTAGTGTTTATATTTTAGATATTGTAAGAATTATTTCTAGATTTAATTTTGACTCTCCATTTCTTAATTTTTATGGGATAAATACTTTTAATATATTAAGATATATTAAAAATGAAAATTACCTTTTGTTATTTTTATCAAAACGACGTTTATTATTGAATTCAAGCAATTACACATGTCACTAATAAATCTGAAGTTATTATATGTGCCAGAAAAACCTAATTTTTTTTATAAAAAATTCATTGTATTATCAATAACAGATGTTCTGTTGGAACTTGCAGAAAAAATTACATGTTTTTCTATTTTGTTTTAAGATTTGTGTCTTTTAATTTCCTGAAAATCTATGAAAGGAATTTAGCCAAGATTGCAAAGTATTCTAATTTTCATGTGGCTTTTCTGTTGAAACTGTTTATTCTAATTTCCTGGCAGATAGGTATTTAGACTGGCAAATTTCTTACAAATGGCAAATTTCTTATTTGCTGTCCGAAATATAAAATTTACAAAGCCACTTAGAAGAATATATTCAAAGTTTTCAGTTAAGAATTTATTTTCTTTTTCATCTTTGTTTCCTGTCAGTTTATTTATTGTGCACGTAAAGGAAGTATTTTCTAAATTATTAATAATTGTGCTTCATATACTTTTTAAAAATTTTTATCTGTAGTTGACTGATTTATAAATTTATTTATTTTAATTTAGCACTAAGTTTCAATTTCTAGAAAAGCAATGTGTTCTGCACCCAATTTTACGTTGCTATGATTAAAAATTATTTTTTTTTTATGTTCTAGGTGAAAAACAAGCTAAAAGAAGAACATGCATTAGCTATTCAGAGGTTACAAGAAGAAAACAATCAGCTGCAATCACTAAATAGGCTTGAATCTGAGTAAATATCAAGGAATTTTTGTTAATTATCTTGCATATATAACATTTATTATTTCTGAATAACATAACATCTAATTTTATTAGTTGGATTTGTAATATAAATAAAATAATTTAATAAAAATATATGAATAATTACAAATTGAGTATTTTTAAATGATTTGAGAGAAATACATGAATTAATTCCTATTAATTGTCACAGGATTAATTAAGTGAAAAATACTTTATTCAGTTAATAAAATGTTAAAAGTAACATACATAGTGATTCTTAAAAGAAGAAAATTACCCTGTTAAGGAAGAAAAGTGTAATGTAAAATAATTTAAATGTTACTACATTAGCAAATTTTTAATTTTTTTTTTTTTTTTTTTTTTTTTTTTTTGAATTGTAAGAGAAAATTATATTTTATTCAGTGAATGCCAGAGGAGAAAGAATTTTTATTCTTGTAATCTGATTTCCCCCTCCCCACACACACATTGTGAGTTGTTTCTTAAATGATAGGTTATGTTTGCTTATTTATGTGGTAAATTTACTCCAGGGAAGAAAAAAAAAAAAAAAAAAAAAAAAAAAAAAAACCCTTTTTTTGGGGGAGGGGGCTATATTTTTATTTAAAAATTTGATTGGGTCTTCTAAGTTTAAAATATTAAAAACCAAAAATATGTTGAGACAATTTTAAAAAAAAACTGTTGCTGAAATAAAATTAAAATTTTTAACAAAATATCGTTTCTGGAGTAATTCAAGCTATATTTTCATGAACATAGATAGTTACAAATGGAAAAATATCATATTTCCCTGGGTGAGGATTGAATTCGCAACCTTCAGCTTCCTCATTTTGCTTATGAGAATGATGCATTGCATACTGTAGTAGAGTATTTTAATAAATGAAACTGCAAAATGAGTGCAAGGAAGTTAATTATCATGCAATATAAAATATTTATACTGTTTAAATACTAAATAAACTGCACAGGTAATTATGATATATATAAACTGCATAATTGCCACTAATTTAGAAAGCCATGTCTAGTTTAGCAATTATAGTTTAGGTTTGCATCCACTGTACTAATATGCCTAAAGATAAATAGGTAATAATGTATCATTAATTTTTTATATACAATAATAAAATATTGTATTTGATTAAGTAGCTTACATTTCATTCTAATCAAAAATAAATGAATTCTTATCAGAACTATGGTTTTTATCAAATACTCACCTATATCTTTATTCTAAAATGTAAGTAGCAGTCTAATTTTTGAGTAAATGTGGTATATATATATATATAAGCAAAAAATAATGAGTTGTATTTGGTAACAGCACATAGTATAATAATAGTATACATTAATTCTGTTTCTAAATGTGTTATTATTTTTAAGTCTAATAATGATAACAGTAGGTATATGTGTAACAGTTATAATAATTATTTAGATTAGTACTTTATTATACGGGTATTAAAATGAGCCTTTTTTTTAGTCAAAAGCTTCTTATAGTTTTTTTTTACTATGTAAAAAGCAAGTAATACTTAAATGCTTAGAAAAATGAAGTTATGATGTGTTTTATGATTCAAAAGTTGGGTATATATGTATAATGAAATATCCTTTTTCCTCAATTTCTTCATAATAAATTTAGAATCTGTTTTATGGTTTATAATTCTATCTGTATCCAGAAATGTAGTGCTTTGAACTGTGAAGGAAATAAATTCATTATATATTTCTATAGAATCTCATTGTTTTCATCAAGTTTTATTTTTGATGGAGATGTTAAAACACAGGTGTAATATATTGTGTAACAGATGCATTAAATGCAATTAAAAATGTTTGTCGATTAATTGTTAATTGCTAAATAAAAGCATTCTTCTTGCATATTAATGAATTCATTGCAGGAGTATGTAGCATATGATTAGCAAATATTTTATTTATAATCTTATTCTATTTAATATATTAAAATATAGAAAAAACTATGGTACTCTCTGACTATTCACCCCCCCCCACACTGAAAAGTCTTTAACCCACTGTCAACTTGAAGAACATTTGCAAAGTTTTCACCTAGCTAATGCTCTACAGGCAACAGCCATTTTAAGAATGGTGGCATGCTAAGAATTCTAGACAAGAATAGTCATTGAGTAAAATTTAAAAAAAAAAAAAAAAAGAATTACTGATATTTTTTTTTTTTTTTTTTTTTTTTTTTAAGAAAAATCTGTTTTTTAGGGGGGAGCACTGTTGTTCTTGTCATGTAGGTAGCAGTCTGTTTTTGCTTAAAAAAATAAGAGACTTGCACTAACTTGGCATCTGTACAACTTCAGCATTGCGCACAGACCAAAATAGATACCTGCTGTGCACATACCTGGGTCACCACACTTTTTGATAACATCATGGGTTTCCATATGTGTTGTGACTTATCTCACTTGTCTGACAGTAATATCAGAACAAGCCTACGAAATACATTATAACCAGGAGAGCAAGATTGCACCTGTTGTTGGCAAGAGCTTTGAACATCATGTAGGTAACAGTATGACTTTACTCTGTTCCGCTCCCAATTTTGATAGAGATCACACCTCAGACCCAAGGATCTCCCACTACCAACCTCTCAAGATGACTTTCATCTTGCAGCATATTTAGAATGCTCTCATCCTGCACAGACACTATACATTTACAAACATCCATGCCTTCTCCGGGATTCAAATCCAGGCTTTTCGGTACGGCAGTCAGCATCGCTAACCACTATCCCGGTTGGGCAGCTGGGTTTTCATATAAGTGTTTTGGCAACATGCTGCTTTGCCTCTTATGGCAGTGGGGGATGCAGACAATCAGAAAGTACCAAAAACTGTATATTTCTATATAGCTATTTGTTATGCTGATTGATATATTATAATTTGGGAAATGAATAATTTTCTTTGTGCATATTTCACATTTTGCTAGAATTCAATCTTTGAAAAGAAAACATTGCCACCTCTTCCTTTTGCAGTACAATTGTTTTGATAAATTGCAATATAAAGTAGTCAATCAGTGAACAAATAGCTAAAACCATTCATACTAGTAAATCATCCCATATGAATAGCAGCTCAGTGGAATCATTCATTGCATGAGATTTCTCTGCATGTAATATAAATTTGGGCCAGTTTCCCATAGAAAGTACTCTACGAAGGCTTTCCTGTTCTGGGGTGAGTAGGAAAGCTTACCAACTGCAACATACCATAGCTTACCAACTGCCCACTGTGGATGCTAATAAATGCAGTTCTAAAAATCTAATGCTAAAGTGCTCACTTTGAAGTGAAAGAAAGTTTCTCAAGCGGAGACTGCAGTGTTTCTTTCACAAAAATTTTGGTATCTTTTTTAGTGACTCAGTATGCTGTTTGTCATTAACTTGTGTCATGTATTCCGTATATATTTAAAGCATTAAAATAATTATTTTGCTATAAGAAAATAATCTTGATAGTTTACATATTGTTTCATTGTGAAGGATGTTTAGGAAGTTCATGGTAGTGTTTTCCGATTGATTTTGTCTTCTGTTTATAAAAAATTAAAAATCAGTGGTCAGAAACAAAAAAACAAAAAATCTAAATTTTTCTGTTATTTAAAAAAGTGTTTAATGTTGCATAATTCACCTTGAGAATGATTCCTAGAAGCTGATTTGGTCATCTGTCCTTATAGTTACTTGATTTTTTCCAAATGTTATGCAAATATGAGTTAGTAGTATAAAATTCCCACAGGAAATACTTTTTCTTAGATATTGTCTTAAGTAACATACCTATGTAGTCCAAGATATGCAAGATCTGAAATCTGAATATATTCTGAGAAAAGGAATAAATTTTAAACAAAATTACTTTCCCTAGATTGTAAATTATTTAAAAGCAGGTGTTAGATGCATATTTTTAACAATATTTGACTATTATCTGCTTCTGAATTATACATTTAATGTATATCTGTTTTCAAACAAGTTATCTAATGCGTGTAATTTTTCAGGAGGAGTATAATATCACCCCCTCAAAAAATATCAAATTTTGTGAAAATTAAATAAGTTTTTTTTCTTTTTTTTTAAATTTAAAGTGGAAATTTTTTTCTAGAAACCTAGTTTGAAAATCTGTGATAATAATAGTGTGTCGATATCTTGTTATATTAATCTGCTCTTAAAAATTCATGCTATGAGTCTAATTAACACCATAATAAATGCCTAGTAGTACTGAATCTATTATGATTATTAACTGAATCTGTTAAGATTGAAACTGACCTGGAAAGAAAAAAAGGTAGAGAAATTTAGCTACAAAAAGATAGCTGACGATTCATAGCACATATATGACACTTGCTGTTAGTTAATATATCATATGTCAATAATGAATATTGTAATTTAATAACTTGAATAAAAATACAAGAAATATGAAATTTTTGTCAGAAAAATTAATTGCACTCTAAAATTTCTTCAATGTGGAATTAGCGCCCACAAAATTAGGGCGTTATCTATAAATATTTTCACACATTTGACATGTATAGCCGCGAAATGGTTAAGATGAGCAATTAAAGCATTAGAAGTCAAATTTGACAAAGGCTTAAGGTGGATAGCTTGTTTTACAAAGCATATACACACACAAATGTAAATTTTATTTAGCATGCCTTTTTTCTGATTCTTGTAAGCTACATAAAATGGACTACACAGATCCAAACCTGAAACACTAAATGTGGTTATCCGTTAATTTTCTCATATGGTAAATTACCCATAATTCTGCGAAGATAATATTAGTTTACATTTTAACACAAAGGTGTACTGTTTTTCATGCCAAATCTCTGCCACTTAATGGCCAAAATTTTAAATGAACTGCATTTAGTAATCCTTAAAGAACAACATGAAACAATTGTCTGTGTGTGTGTGTGTGTTACAAAAATAAATCTTACTTAGCTTAAAAATGTTTAGCAGGATTGCAGGATATTTCTGAGAAAATGGTAAGGACACTTTTCCAAGATGGCCAGCAACATGAATAATTTCATTACAATCAACAAAGGGATGTAAATTTTTTTAATTACCTGTTATGCTTTTTTTACATGATAGGGCCCTGTGCTCATGTTTAAAAGCGTTTCTTCAGCTGCTCTCACCTCTTCTAGTTTAAGAGGTCCTACCATCTTAAATCTGTTCATGCAGTTATAAATAAATCTAAAAATGTAAGAAAGAACATTGATGATTTTATGATAATTATTACTAATACTCAATAGTTCATATCCATCAGTTTAGTTCTCTCAAGAAAGTTAAGAGAACTGTTGCTTTCGTGCACGTAGGGTTCCCTTTCACTCGGTGTCGGGTATTCAACCTCAGGAACTAGAGGTTATAAGCACTTGTAAGGAAGATGTGACACTCTAAAAAAAATCTGCAGAAGTTTACCATTTGGAATTGTCCACTAGAGAAAAAGCACTAACTTCACGCCTTAGATCGGCAGAATTGTCTTTTGTTAATCAATAAAACCATGAATCTGGATTAGTCAACCTTTGAATCTCATCAACCGGATTTTGAACAGATTTCCATCTTCTGATAGATTGGTTAATCCAATACAGTGGGACTTTAAAAATCACTTAAAAAAAAAAAAAAAAAAAATAAAGGAACCTTTATGATTTGGAACCATTTTGACTTCTGTTCCCAATCTTGCAGCTTAAATAAATGGCTGCACCGTATGATTTTTGGCTTGTGTCGGAAAAAAATTTAAATCTCCATTTTCATCACATGAATCCAAAACAGATCTAATAACACTAATGTTACTTAGTCGTGAAAGCTTCCTGCACCATTCAGACTTGTCATTCAAGTTAGAGGGAAGCTCAGCACCCCCTAGTAGTTTATGTAACCATAGCTTTTGTAACAAAAGTCTTTCTCTAACAGTGAATGGTGTGATCAGTCCAAGTGGATCATTTATCTTAACTATTATTATTATTTATATTAACTGTTTGAAGAATGATGCGCATGGTATTTTTCTTTCTTCTCAGAATTTTACTCAGTTAAGAAGTCTCTACTCTCAACATGCATATTCGTGAATGTCCCACTGAATTCCTAATACTTTGAGTATTTTATTGTCTGAGCTTAGTGGATAATTGTCAAAATGCACTTCCCATTTCTTAACTAAACACTTATTGTTTTTCACCCATTTGCGTAGATTCCTCCCATCTCTAGGCATAATATCTTTTGCTTCACCTGAAATTTTTACGTCTTCTAATATATCATCTGCTCCTTTAACAAGTCATCAGACCGTACGTACACAAGAATTTGAAAATTTTCTGGATACATAAGTCTATATTTTTGGATATACAGCTTTCAATTACTGCCTACAAAAATGGACTTGAATTGACACCAAATAGTACATTCATAATTCTGTAAACTTCTAATTGATTATCAGTATTCTGTGAAAGGTGAGTGTACTAGTATTCTTAACAAATAAAAATCCGTCTGCATCTCTGTCTTTCACCGCTAGGATGATCTGTAAAAATGGCTTTTCAAAATCTCCTAAGATTGCAACTCTGTTAAGTCTAAAATATATCAGGGAGTGAAATGTTTTTTATTTTCCATATTAGTACCGGGCCACAAGCAATTATTCAGGGACAAATTACCTATTTTATGTAATCTCTCATTAAATACAATGTGCATTTTAGTAGTAATGCTTTCTTCTGTACACTGCCTGATGTGGCATGTAAAAAAACTGTCTACTGGTTTCATAGTATCTAAACACTCTATTATCCCTTGATCTGTATACCAATTTAATAGGTTTCTTTGTATTTTACGTATAATGCATTATCGTGTTGCATTTTTCTCACTAGAATCCTTACTCTTTTTACTGTGACACCCTAACTTTTCTGAATGTTTCTTCAAGGGCAAACTAACAACATAACAACATAATGGCCATCTGATAGTTTTAGTGAATATCTCCACTGCTTTATCATCGTAAAAACTGGGATCGTCTCTAATACCAATTGATTCTAAATAAAACTTTCTTAACTAAGAATTCACTCAATGCAGCAATTAATAATAAATGGAATTTCAAGGGCTACTTACCTCTTTCCTTCAGCATCTGGCTTGAATCCACAAACATTAATTCTCCAGAAACTAAAAATGGTGGTAAAATCCCCCATTTTATAACTTGCTTATTTAGCAAATTTCCTGGGCCAAGAATAATAAAATAGGTGCAGTTTAATATGATGAAATCATTTTAAATGATTTTTATCATCCTGTAGCTTTTGAAAGCTTATCAATTTTCTATTAAAATATTCTTAGTAGTCTGAAATTTATAATTTTGGAGGTTTTATTTCATGTGTACTTTTGTTTTATAGCATTTGTGATTATAAACTTGCTCAATTTTTAGAAAACAACAGCGCAGTACTCTAGACATTTCTCGTCTTCAGCATGAAGTGGAGCAGCTGAGATCATCTCGTGAAAAATTTGAAACTCATCAAGCTGCTATGCAACAAAATCAAGAGGATCTTCACCATCAAATTCAGCAGCTGGAGAAACATATAGAACAGCTTGTGAGTTCTCACCAAGAAGATGAATATAGTTATAAACAGAGGATGAATGAAATGAGCAATAAACTTCAACAAACAGAAAATGCTCGATCTTCTTTAGTACAGGAACTGCAAAATGCTCAGTCAGTGTGTAGCAGTTTGGAAGCTGATAATTCTTCTTTGAGACAGCGTTTAGATGAAGCAAAGCATCAAATTAATAGCACTGAACAGGATATAATTCAGCTGCAAAGCAGATTAGAGGTTAGCTTTCTATCATATATCACTGCAGAGTGTTAAAATTTCTTTTGTTTTTATTTTATTTTTCATTGTATGCATCATGAAAACATATTTAGTCTAGAGTAAAATTGCAGTTGATGTTGTTTTCTGAGTGATAGTTGTTATTAATATTTTCTCCCCAAAATCAAAATTTCTGACGATTTCTGTATATATGTGCTGTCATTTTACATAAATCATGACACATATATACATATATAAGCACAAAACTATAACTTTGTGTGCGTGTGTGTATATATATATATATATATATATTACATATGCATTCATATACTCTGGCAGAAAAAAAGTAACAACTAATAAAAAGGTGCTTTATATGAGAGTGAAATCCAGTAAAAGATGGTTTATAGTAGCAGACATATTTGCTAGTTGAGGGTATAGAAATTAAATACTGTGTTTAATATGGCTTACAAGTTCATAACTTAATAGAGCTGTCGTTAACTTTCCCATCGACTGTTCTTATTGCCAAAAGAAATGTTTTTTATTAGAAAGAGTTAAGATGTAGCTAAGAGTAACACCAGTATAATTTGCTTGAGGAATTTGGTTTTTCTTTTTATGAATAGGAAAAATCATTCTATTAAATATAAAAAATTCATAAGAAATATTCTCCAAAGAAAAAAGTTTTTTAGGTTAATTTTATTTAGTGAAGTCTAAGGCATATGTGGTGCTTGGTTCCTGAAGGTCCTGCTATCATGTAACCCAATAAATTCACCTTCCCTGCAAAGAAATATGCGAATTTTTGTGTCTGTTCTTTTGGAATGTGGAAAGGAAGAGCAGGGATTGCTTCAGGTTTATATTTCAAGGATTATATGAGTAATTGAATAAAATTTTCACAAGGTGGAACATGTCATAGAGAAAGCATTTGATCAGTTGCGAGAAGTGGCATTCAGTTACCCAGGAGTGTCATGTCAGAAATCTAGAAATGATTTAAAAACATAAGTGATGCATGCTGACAACTAGGTCAAGGTGAAAAATGTGTCACAACAGGATTTTGTTTGACTATGATTTCTAAAATAAATAAATAAATGAAAAAAAAAAAAAAAATAATCAACACAGATTGCAGGTGAGTTCGTAGCACAACAGGATTTTGTTTGACTATGATTTCTAAAATAAATAAATAAATAAATGAAAAAAAAAATAATCAACACAGATTGCAGGTGAGTTCGTAGCAGCTACAGGAATTCAACTATTCAGATGTAGCATGGGTGACAGGCTGCATAGGAGAGGGCTCAATGCGAAGAAACCCATGATTTATATCCCACTAAGTCTGGCTGCAAAATATACCAAGTTGCAATGATGCAGAAATCATCAAGATCAGAGTATCACAAATTAGAGCCAAGTTCTCTTTACTGATGAGTATTATTTTTGTTTGGAAAGTGATTTCAAGTGTGTTTGGATTTGAAGGGAGCAAACCATTTGCAATAAGTCTGGAAACATTTGGGAGAGGCATTGGAATTAAGGTGTTGGAATTTATGGTATGGATAAGCATTATTTTGAATGGCTGCACTGACCTATGTAGTTTTACTTGTGTAACTATGAATATTAAAATATGCAGAAGTAAGAAATTCTTGATTCTTATATCAAATTATTTAATGCTGCATTCAGCAATAACTTTGTCCTGCTCATTCATCATGATCAGGACAAAGTTGTTATTAAGATTTAGAGGACAAAATTATTTCGCTGCTAAATGATTAGTGGTCGATTATTTGAGCGCAAAGGAATCCAGTCAATAGAACATGTGGGATACATTAGGATGCCAATTTGCATCACAGCAGCCTTTGCCTAGCATTCTCTAGAAAATTCAAGATTCTATTCATTTTGAATACACTTTATTACTGCAGCAAACTCCTCAGTAATCTAATACATAGCATGAGAAATTTTTGTAAAGCTTGCATTTGAATCAGGGATGACTATATGCTGTAATGTTTTTCTGTGTAGTTAGAAAAAAATTGTAACACAAACATTTCCCTACCACACTTTATATCGCATTTCCTGTATCTTTACTTAAATTTATTTATTTATTGCAAAAATAGGCAACTCTGCTATTTAAAGACATGTTAGGCATGGCAAAATAAAGATCTTCATGTGTTCCATAGTTTTAGCTGTAAAATCATTCAAGTTACAAGAGTTTTTACAGCTTTTCCTTTAATTTTTGCCAGTATATATATTATATATATATATATATATATTGGCAAAATGTGTTTGTATGCAAGACAAAATGCTAAACCTTACTTTGCAATAGTTCTTAGTCTCCTTTTTCAGTTTGGTTATTTCTCTTATCTACTTTAAAAATAGTAATACGCATCACTAAATAAATAGTAATATGTGTCATTTTAAACTGCATCTTTCAAAATTAACCTGTTGGTCGTATGATTCTTGTATGCTTATAATATGTGTACTCCCAATAAAAAAAATTTAAAAAAAAAAACTTATATCTCCAATTCTACCTAGCTGATTGACAAAATACAACTTGCGTTTCTCATCTTTCAGAAGTTTGATTTAGGATGTATATTAAAGTTATATATATAATTTTGTTCTAATGTATATTTTAACACAAAGTCAGGCATTTTTCTGAAATGGCACTTTTTTCCCGTATTTTGTAAAATTTAAGCAGTAATATGGAAATTTACCTTCATGCACTTTTTTTACTTTGTGTGAAGAAAATTAATTTGCCGAACTTTTCAGTTTACAGCAACCTATTTCAGTTTCCCTTTCATTCTGAGCAAACCAAAAAAAGTAATGTGCTTTCTTTCTTGCACGTATTTTTACTTCATATTATACTTTTTAATAACAGTTATTTTTGTTTTCTTTTTAGAATTTCGTTTTAATTAATTGATTTGTGTGGTTGAATTATGTTCTTCAAATAATTACTCCAGAAATTTCTGTGTATTAATTTGTATTGTGTACTTTAAACATTTTTATTCTTACAAATGTTTTTTTACTTTTTTATTTGAATTTATTTATTTGAGTAGCATTTCTTTTGAAAGAGTATTTTATCTTCCAGTATTCATCGCAATGCCTATAAAACTGCATTCTGCAAACAAAAGAGAAAATACCATAAAAAACAATATGTTTTTCAATAAACCGTTCAGAAAAGTTATATAAATGAGAATTTTATTATCTACATTTTAATTTAGAATGACATGCATGCAAACAGTTGTTCATAATTGTATCACTATGCTATTACTTTGCATAATTTTATCATCCTACTTTTGGTTTGCGAAAATATTATCTATATTTATGAATAAGGTCACCCTTCAGGGGCTTACTTTTGTGAGTGCCGGTGTGGCAATCCCAAGGTAAATGGGAGGCACCTTGTTGTCCTTATGGGTGTTAATTGGCTGGTCACTAGTCCTTTTGTCAGTGGCTTGGGAAGAAGCTGTCATGAGTACTTGCTTTCACGAAAGCTGACTGTAGGGCTTCAGTTTGTGTATAGGTCTGGTTAGCCATAACTCGGGATTTTGTGTTCCCTTGTTGGGGCTCCATGGTGGATGGAGTGCTTGAACCCGAATCTTTTCTCTTTCAAACATGGCTCAGTCAAATTTAAACTCTTCAACTGAGCATAATGCCAGTGTTAGTTTACCTAATAGTCAACCTCATTTTATAGTCATAAACAACTCCACCGGGTAGCTTGAAAATATATCACCATTTTTGGGGCAAAAACATAGACTGTCGTGCAGGAGAACTAAAAAACATAAATCAACTACATTCTGGAAACCTTTTAATTGAAACTTTTTCTTCCAGACAGTCTACAGCTCCTCTTTGCTCAACCAAACTTAGGAGAGTAGAAGTCTGTGGCTGAGTACATAAGACACTGAATTATTGCTGAGGAGTGGTTTCAAAGTTTTCTTCTTTCTGTCTCGGATGAGGAATTCATCTCTGAACTCTCGTGTCAGAATGTGTGTACTGCTAAGCGAATCAAGATGCATAAAAAAGGTCAGCTGATTGATAAAAAGCAGATCATCCTGACCTTCAGCACACCTGATTTGCCAAAGAATATAAAAGGCCGGTTACTTATGGTGTCCTCTAAGATGTTATATTCCGAACCCAATGCAGTGTTAGTGCATTTTGGCCATTCAAAATCCTGTCATGGACAAAATCTTACTAAGCAACTTTCTGTTAAAATAAATGGCGAAAAAAATCAAGCATACTAAATCAATCAAATACCTAGGAAATTATAATACATGAAAACAACATCTTATCGAATATCTCAAAGAACTTAAAATTCGCACACATTCTATAAGTCAAAATCTTCGACATGTGCATGGCACAAACTGGGGTTTAAATCGCCATATCACCAAATTACTATATCGTACAGTAATAACCAAAATGATTACCTACGGCTCTGCCATCTGGGCATTCCCTATAACCACAAGAAAAAAAAAATTCTTACCTCAACACAACGACAATTTAATCTTAATATTTCCAGAGGCTTTCGAAATACCTCCAGTACTACTCTTAATATCTTAGCTGGAACTATTCCACTCCATGTCGAATCCATTCAGGAAGCAATTGATTCTACAATATATGAACTTCGCCATAATATTACTTATAACAAAACCATATACATCACAGAGGATTACGAAATGTGCCCTGCTCCTTACAATAGACATCTCCTGCTGTATCACACACACACACACACACACAAACACACAAAAAAAAAAAAAAAAAAAAAAAAAAACACAAAAACTAAAAAAAACAATTCAATTGAAGTATTAAACAAAGTAAAAATATATTATATATCAAATATTAATGAACTGACCTGACGTCAATCTGCCATCTATGCTATCTCTAACCCAGAAAATCAGACTTCTATTGTTTATGACATCAATAACCTCTCTAAAACAACAGATAATTTAAAAATTCATATATCATGGATAAGAGGCCATAGTAGAAATGCCGGTAACTTAACATTTGACAAACTTGCAAAGAAGCTGTTCCTAATCAAGAAAGCAATTTTCTATATA